GTGATTGGCTGATTAGAAATTAAGTGTTAACGAGCAGTTGGACAGGTGTACCTAATAAAGTGGCCGGTGAGTGTATGGTTACTGTCAACACACAAAGTTTCAAAGTGTTTCCCTGGAAACTGGTATTTGTGATTTAAATGTTGGATAGTTCTGCTTTTGGGTTTAATTTGTAGTGTTTTAGGGGTGGCTGTGGCAGAGTGGTTAGGGTAACCTGTTGTAACCTGTAAGCTGGTTCAATCCCCATTCCAGCTGTCTCACTCGTTGTGTCCTTGGGCAAGGCACTTCACCACCTTGCCTACTGATGGCGGTCAGAGGTTCCAGTGACAGTATGGCAGCCCCGCCTCTSTCAGTGTGCTCCAAGGCAGCTGTGGCTACTTTGTGGCTTACCACCATCAGTGTGTGGGTCATATAGGGTTATATAAAACTAATGCATTATTATTATTGTTTTGTGTGATTTCTGTTTTTTGTGTTTGATATGTTTTTGTCTGTTATAGATGTTTTAGGAGGCTACAACGGCACCATCTTTGCTTACGGTCAGACATCATCTGGAAAGACTCACACCATGGAGGTCAGTGTGCTGACATAGAAGAAATGGAAAAAGTTTGTTGTTGTGTTTGTAATAATGTTGTTGTTGTTGTTGTTCAGGGAAATCTTCATGACACTCATCTGATGGGCATCATTCCACGAATCGCCAGAGACATCTTTGACCACATCTACTCTATGGATGAAAACCTGGAGTTCCACATTAAGGTGATGTCATTATTGACATCACTGATTCTGCCACTGAAACACTGATTTTATTTTCAACGTTAATGTATTTATATGATCATAAATATTAACATTATCTTCTACATTAGTCAAGCAGAAACAGAAACATCAAACTTACATCTTTCAGATCAAATAAAAACAATCTGTTATTTGAATTTTAAATAAAATGATGAAAATGAAAATTTTTGTTTTTAATTTAAAATAAATTTGGACTTCTAAGACACATTCTGTTTCCCAGTGGGGAGCACTAGTCCCCTAAAAGACTATGGCAATAATTCTGGACCTAAATTTTTTGTTTGCTTTTTAGGCCTTTTACTAAATTTTTTTTGCAGATTTGCGCTTTCTAAATTAAAAAAATCAGTAGAGCTAATATAATTATTTTATCAAGTACTGATCATCATTATCTTTTACACTGGAGGGAGAAAGCTGTCAACACAATGCAGAACCATTGGAACTTAACAGCAGCACCCCCTCTGATGCCTGTTCTCAGAGCCATTTACTGCTGCTGACTGTTCTTCTGACTCACCGTTTGCATTTAAGAGACGACTCATTCCTGAACACCTGTGGGCTGGCGCGTAGGGCGGTGATGAAATTAAACCAAGCATGTCTGTCTCTGGCAAGCATCTCCAGTTCCCCCAGGTCTTGTTCTGGGCCGTGGCCTCAGCCTCCAATATTTTCACCATGAAATCCCTGGTCTACCTTGCTTCCTCTTGCCTTCTGGGGTCCATCTCAGTGCCGTTCTCACCAGGTTGTCTGGTTCCCTCCTCAGCACATGACCAACCCATCACCATCTTCTTGTGATGATTGTCAGCAACTCCTCCTGTCCGGTCACCTTCAGCGGGTCCTGATTGCTGATCTTTTCAGGCCAGAAGATCCTGCAGGTTTAACGTAGACAGATGGTGTGGAAGGTCGACAGTTTATCCTCATCTCTCTGCATCGTCCTCCAGCATTCAGAACCATATGAAGCCCAGGCAGGACACAAGTTCTGTACATCTTGTTGAAGTTGAACTGTAGAAGTACAACAGTGTACTGTAGAAGTACAGCAGTGTACTGTAGAAGTACAGCAGTGTACTGTAGAAGTACAGCAGTGTACTGTAGAAGTACAGCAGTGTACTGT